TAGCGAAGATCTCTGGCTCTCCTGGAGGTCTTTCCGGGCACAAGGCATCCTGCCTTCACCTAGGGGCGTGGTGTCTGATGGTAACGCTTTTAGTAGATCGTTTAATAGTGTGGCCAGACCATGGGCCGTTTCAGCATTCCATCTGCCTGCATTTTGAAGGGTACTTAGGCTCTTTTTTGGGGCTGTTTTAAAGTAATGGATATACAGTGGCAACCATTGTGTGTATAGGTGGATGAAGGCTGGGGAAAATCTCACAAGAAGCACCAGAAAACAGACAAACTGCACGTGCTTGTCGAAAATAAGTAAATAAAATCCCCTTCCTCTTCACACCAGACTATCAGAGTAGCTGTGGACCTCAGCCTTTCTTTTATGGCCTGATCTGTTATAAAATTAATGGATTTAGACTGGAGGATCAGGTAGCAGCCTGGTATCCCCATATTTGCCTTTTTTCTTATCTTGATCCTTACAGGGAGCGGATCGGGAAGTTGACCCAGGCAGGGGGGAAATGTAGAACTAGAAGGAAGAGGACAATGGAGAATATGTGAAGAGCAAAAAAGAATAAAGAGGAAAAGGGACAGGTGGAAGTGGCAAAATATAAGAAAACTGAGTCACATAAGGGAGATAGGTCCCCAGTCCCATGATGCAGAAAAAGTTAATGGAGGTAGACCCTCAAAGCTGATAATGAATTTTGCTAAAAAGTTTTGCTACAGCTATTTAATGGGTAAGCTTTGAATGTAGAAAGTAGATGTGGTAAGATACCTGGGTATTTGATTAATGCTTCAAGTATTACTTGATTTTTATGGTTAAGTAGTTTGCAAATACAGAAGCTATTTTTAAATCATGAGTATTGTTTTTCCTACAGGTTGACAAAAATGCTGAATTGGTGGCAAAATGGCATTACTGTGCTCTGAGTCAGGAGAAGTTGTGTCGCCCAATTGTGGCCTGTGAGCTGGGCAGGTATGAATGTTTCCTTATAGACCACTGTAATAAAAGGTACTAATTTATTATTAAAAGAATGTTATGAGATTCAAATGTGTTTACTAAAATTGTTTTATGTTACAGGTTGTATAATAAAGATGCCATCATTGAATTTTTGTTGGATAAGTCAGGTGATAAAACTCCTATGAAAGCTGCATCACATATCAAAAGCATCAAGGTAAACAGGTTGTGTGAAATATTGAAGAGTGCTATGAGAGTTAAAACATGCAACAATACCTCAATTTGTTTGTCTTCTTACTGTACACTAAAAGTGTTAAAAATAGCAAATCACACTGAAAAAATGTTAGGGAATGTTATGATGGCTTAAGAATGATTATTAAACAGCTTAAGACTTGCATTTTTGTTTTTCAGAATGTAACAGAACTAAAGCTTGCAGATAATCCAGCTTGGAGTGGTGATAAAGAGAGTATAAAAGGTGACAAATATGATGACATGCAGTCTGCGCGCTTTATATGCCCAGTGGTGGGACTGGAAATGAATGGAAGGCATAGGTCAGTATTGAAGTTTCTGGATTTTGTTTTAAAAGTGATTACTGTGCTAAACAGAATAGAGAGCACGTAAAAATGTTTGAATCAATAGTGTTCCAAATCACAACTGTGCTCAAGCCTTTGCGGGGAATATTTGTCCTCCTTTCAAAAGGAGGGAGTTGGGACTGCTAAGTGTTCTTTCATTTCATATTCAAGAGGAAAGATAAAAGGTTAACTCTTTCCTAAATTAGTTTATACACGTAATGAAGGAATACAGAGGGCAATGTCTGTAGAGAAAAAGTGACTGAAAGTTGTTTGGGGGCTTTACGGTGTGTATCAACTAAAATTTTAGGTGCTTAAAATCTATTTTTGTTGTTGTTTCTCTGTGGAAGCTTGCACAAATCTGAAAAACCCTAAAAGTTTTTAGAAGTAACTTAAAACATTATTTAAAATTAAATAAAAGATTTGGAAAACAGATTTTACTCACATAAGAAATTGAGAAAATTTCGTCTTTATAGATCAAAGGAAGTAATAAAAGACTATCTGGTGCTGAAATTCTCTTTACTTCTTAGTATTTGATGCCTGAGACACATTTTTTCATTAAAGGAGAGGAATGTATATATACATATAACAGGGAGGGCTGGTTATGTGAATGGGAGATACTAAACCCTTGAGTCCAGGTACTGGATGTACTGGATTCCGTACTGTGAAGATGGCGAGTCACTGGCACAGGGTGCCCAGAGAAGCTGTGGCTGCACCGTCCCTGGCAGTGTTCAAGGCCAGGTTCGATGAGGCTTGAAGCAGCCTGCTCTAGTGGAAGGTGTCCCTGCCCATGGCAGGGGTTGGAACTGGATGAGCTTCAAAGTCTGAACCCAGGACACCTCCTGTCCTGAACTATCTGTGATTCTGTGACCTATATCGACCTATGTACAAAAACATCTCAAAGAGCATTTGTCTTGCTAAGCTCCATTTGAGGGATTGTCGTAAACCTATAATGGGTTACACAGAATGAAATAAGAAAATATGTGTTATGGTTTAATCTACTTAAAGATGCTGATACTTTGATTAGCTGCAAGAATTTGTAAAGAAGTTAGCTGTGTCCTGCTAGCCCATTGCTATGTTGTTTCTGTGTTGAATCTGCCCTGCACAGGGCTTCTTAAAAACAATTGTATGTCTTGTCTTCTTTTCTTTGAAGGTTTTGCTTCTTGAGAAACTGTGGCTGTGTGTTCTCTGAACGTGCTCTCAAAGAAATTAAATCAGAAGTTTGTCATAAGGTGAGTTTTTCCTCAGCTTTAGTAGCAGTAGGGTCATGTCTGACCTCCACAGATAGATACATAGGTACATACATAGGAGTGTATGTGTGTATACATATATATATATATATATACGCATACACAGTTGCATTGACATCTGCTATTGTAAAATATGGTTTTTTAGTCTGAATATGCAAACTGAAATGGAACTTTAAGAGTTCTGTTCTGTGATGGCTTGAAGTATGGCCCTTTGTTATAAAAATGCATTTCTAAGTAATTGTGGAAATCTGTATTTTTGTTCTTGGAGACAGTTTGATTTTTGCAGTAGCTTCTTTAGAAATCTAATTATTTCATTATTTTAATTTAGTTGATGAATTATATTTACTTGGTTGTAATTTCGGTTTTTAAAAGTATGATTGATTTTGATTTAGGGTGTTTGGCTTGCTTTGCTAGGTTTTGGTTTGTTGGTTTTTGGTTGGTTTTCTTTTCCCTGAAAGTATGTGGTTTGCGTTTGTCAGTGTGTCTGGATCCTTGTATTTTTAAAGAATGTTTGCTATTGTCTTTTTTTTGGGGAGGGGGCAACTCTTCATAGAATTTTCAGCAGTCGCATAACTTACTGTAGAAAATACTGACTGCATTTCATTTTCCAGTGCTGGTTTGATTTCATATAGGTTTCTTTGGAACTGGGGCAATGATAAAATTTGCAAATACTTTCTTTTTTCCCTGTCACTACTTTTATTATCAGTGAGACTTGTAATGTTGCCAAATTTAGTTAGAGATTTTTTTCAGCAGACACCCCGATATTGGATAAAACCTATTTGTATTAAACAACACCTGTGAAGGAAAAGTTTTCTTGGTAAGTTGTTGCAGATGGTGTGGAATATTGTTAGATTTAGCCTCATATTGCTGCATTCTGTGCTAATTTTGTTCTACAGAGTACTGGTTTAGTCTTAATGGCTTTGGTTTCCTATTGACAGATGCTAGTTTATTTTTAACGAGGTTTTTTTTGTATGCATCTAAATTTTTGTTGATGGATAGATGTAACTTGATTATGAAATGCAGGAATGAGATAGTTTGGCCAGTCTGATGATCTTATAAAAACTAAATTAATCCCACATGTTTTCTGGATTTCTTTAATAATCAGTATTTAGCTCAGCCTCATGTTTGTATGTGAATGTTTTCACACACATGTGGATTCTTCCCAATATTCAGAAGGACACTTCTAGGAATTGTGAAGTGGATATAATATAATCTAGTCTGTCATCTTTTCATTACTGGACTTTGGTGCACAGGGATAATGCTAACCAACTGGGAGAACATGTTTTAGTCTGCATTTCCTTTGAGCAAAGTCAAAGAGTGATTTGGTGGAGTTTTGGATATATACTGATGATGTTCTCATTCTGCATTCCGAATTAAGAAGGGACCAGAACTCTTCTAAATAGGATCATGGGGAACTGGTTGCTGTGTGTTCTGGTAACTAACAGTTTGTTAATATCTGAAGTGCTAATTGGCAGCTTTCCCCCAGCACATTCTATCTTTATGGAGCAATGGGGCATATAGTAAATGAACCTGGAACTAATGGAAAAAAAAAAAATTGTGTATTGTATATATGCTAGAATTAGAATTTTTTAAATTAATAAACTGAATCCTCTTGTGATCCATACTCCTTCAAAGCACAAAAAAAAGTAAATGCAGAATGTTTGAATGTTGTAGATTGCCAGACATGTTTTTACTGGTCCTAACCGCTGTATTTTAAGAATTGCAATATTGTTTTTGAAATGAAAAGCAACCTGAGATCCATGTGTGCTACAGGATTACTTTTTTCTTTATGGCCTTGCCATCTTCTGTCTGCTAGTGTGTGCTCAGATGCCCAGCCCTGGGTGCCCCTGCCACGTCTGTGGACATGTAGGCATTATGTGACTTCAGAAAGCAGCAGGATGAGAGTAGTTCAAAAAGAAAAACCCTGTATTTGCTTGTTTACGCTGTGGTTTCAGTTCTTTTCAGCTAGCAGAATCTATGTTTTTGACTTCATCCCAGGGGATGAGGTTTATATCACAGATATAAACTGGAGAAGTGTCAGTCTTAAGAACTGTGTGCTGGTTCTCTACTATGGGAAAGCTCTTTCAAAACAAAATATTCTTGTGTATTAATTTTGTCTGTGAGCCTACAGAGCAGTCCTGATAGTCTGCTAAATTGTAAACAGCAAGTTTCCCAAAGGACTCCCTCAGACAGATGCTGTAGTGATGCAATGAAAACATTCACCAGAGAATACAAATATCCAGCAGCCCAAACAACAGGTCTGCTTATATACCTTAAACTAGATCATCTGAACAAGATAATGAGCGTATATTTACATGCTACAAGATGCATGTCACAAAATGTTGTGCTTTGTGAAACTAGCAAATTACTTTCCTGTGCTCAGAGCAGAGGGTTGCTTCCTTTGCAGGCTGTCTGGGTTCACTCAGGGGAATGCTTTCCACTTTGTGGGAAGCCCCACAGACCAGACAGTTTTTTCACTGCTCAGTTTTCTTCTCAGGATTTTTTCTGTTGCAGCTCATACAAGAAATAGAGCAATCTGTCCAGTGATATGCAGGTCACAAAATAAGTGTTCAGGAAAAAGCTGAATTCATATAAACATTTGTCTCGTTCAAGAAAATGGAAAACGCCAAGATGAAGAATTCAGCATTTCTGTAGTACTGGATTTGAAAGGCTTTATGGAGTCGACGTACTGGGAGGATGAAGCAATCTCTCTATTGGAGTTCTTTTTCAAAAAACCACATTTTGCCTCCAGAGAAACTTACATGAAGAGCTGACAATATTAAATACATGTATTTATTGCTTTTACTGGAATTGTTAAGAAGACTGTACTGGTAGTAGGGCATGACACAAGAATGTGAGAGGAATTAAAATTGTAAGGCGACTGTAATCGTGTGAGGCCTTTTTCTAAGTGACTTACCTCCCTTGGAAGTAAACGATTCTTTCCTGCTTCACATCTTAAGTAGCGGTATACTGAAGGATTCAAGTTAAAAGAATAACATTAAAGTGTGAAACTTTAAGGCAAGCAAACAGTCAGACACTGTAGCAGTGTTGAGGGAGGCTTTGAAAGGTCTTGCCAAAACATAAAACTCCCTGGCCAAAGACTTTTTGAAAGAGCAATGAGAATTTTTTTGTGGTGGTTTATGTTGGAGAGTGAGCTTGTTAGATGAAGTAAGTGCTTGGGACAAATTCTGAAGCCTCTAACTGTTTAGACTGAAAAAGAGCTTTTTCTAAAACACAGCAACTTGTGAATAGAAATAAAATACATAATACCTGTTTACACATAAGCATAATTTGTTCGAGCCATGTTTTTGAGGTTTTGTACGGTAAGAAGGAAAAATGTAAACTCTCAGTACTAAGTCACATGGTAAAATGTGCAGGACAGGACTTCCAATCAGCAGAGAGGGAAACAACTCTGCTTCCAGATAAGAGAGTTTGATGATATATATTCTGCAGAGAAGCCCTGAAGATCAGGAGTTTTCTGCTGCCTCTTGTTTCCTGTTCTTCAGGAAGAATTACATGTGACATGGAAATTGACAGTTTAAAACTTGTACTTTTGAATAGGACATTCTTACCTATTAATTCTCCAACAGACTACCAAATGAAAAAACCAAGCAAGACTGTTTCTGCTCACTCTTTTTGTATCTGATGGGATCTTGAAGACAGATAGTGCTGATCTCTGGTTTGTTGACTTTTGGTGGGGCCCAAAGTAATTAAGTGTTTTAGAATTTCTGTTCTAACTGGTTTCCTGGTTCTTGCAGGGCAATCTTTGGTGCCTGCTTGTTTGGGAGTCCGCTATTTGACAAAGTTATGCTTTTAGAAATGATGCAGTAAAAGAAGTACCTAGGAGTGTATGGCATCTCTTTAACCTCATTTTTGGGGGTTCGAAAAGGGCACTGTTGCCAATTGTTGATGTTGAGTCCCCTGTCTAAGAAATTACTATTGCTGTATGCTAGAGATAGTTTGGAGATGGGACACTGGTTATTGAATCAGTAGCGGAAATCCTTTGGGGAGTTACTTTGGAAGTTAAGGACAAGATTGAATTTTAAAATATAATTTCTTACATCACTTTAAAACTTATTTTGGAATTGTTTTCAGAGTCAACAGGCTCTTAATACACACTTGAAATAGTACCCTAACTATTAAAATCTGCCATATTTAATCACATGTTTAATTTAGATACGGAGCTATTGAACATGTGGGTTTTGAAACAGAAATTATGTATGCATCGTTCAGATAGAGAGTTAATGTGTGTGCAGTATGTTACAGAGCACAGTGTTTGCTTGAACAAAGTCACTTTGACACTGCTCTTAGATCAAGTCACCAAAAGTTCGTAAACGTTGGCTGCTGAGATCTAAAAGTTGATTGATTTACTCATAACACCTGCAGAACTTAGTGAATGTTTTTTATGTATGTTTAAATGGTTTCAGCTTTTGACAGTTTTATTACTTAATTTTTTACCATTGTTAGAAGTAAAAAAATATCTCAAGACTATAATATGGTCATAGTTACTCAAGTTAATGTGTAGAATACTGCTTCTTAATGATTGACAATGGAGTGGTTCAATTACAGATTTCCTGGGGGGTTTATATATGTAAAATTCTGTGTAAGATACAAAATCCTTTAGGAAATGTGGATCACACTCCAATGATTTTCCTGGATTTACCTGGGCGAAGTCATACCTAAATTATATTTTAAGAGGGCTATTTGCGCAGATGGGTTTTTTTCCCAATTTGATTCATTCAGTGTCTGCAAAACAAGCCCATGTTACAGAACGCCTTGTTATTGACTTTATCCTTCTAATTCAGTTCAGAAGTGATACACAATTGTTCTGTGTGATGATGACGAAAGGTAAAAACTAGATACTGCATTTGCTGCACTTTAAAAGACAACATGGAGTGGATTAATGTTGGCAGTGCCCTTCAGTGGATTGGGAGTGGTTTGGATATTAATTATGAATATTGCTATGATTAATACATGCCAGA